GTGTAAGACATAAGAAACCACTGATCTAGATGCTTCTGTGTAAGACAAAAGAAATCACTGAAAAATGATTCATCGGTGAGACCGGGTGAAACCTCAACAGTCGCGGTCAGTGCCACAAATAACAGCAACCAAGTCTTTGTCAAACATAACATTTCGTTTCTGTCGTGTATATGGAAAATCTTGTCGATTACCGTGCAAATCTTGTCGGGAAAAGAACACGTGTTCGGCAGGGCACATCAACAAATCCATGGAAACCTGAAACGCATTGTCCTTGGGCCATTTTCGGCCCTGATCTGCCTGGTGTGGCTTACAAAGGTAGTTGCAGCTAAAGAAGTTTAACTACCCTCTAATAGTCTAACCAAACACATCCACTGCATATATATATAATTACACTATATGCGTTTCCAAGAGCACATTGCTTAGGATGGGATGCTTTTCAATCAAGCTCTCCTCAGGCAAGCATACAAGCGTCGAGTTGCTCGTTCACGGATCTTTCTTTTGCCTGATGGAAGTGCAAACAAAAGACAGGAAAACACGGCGGCCAAGTGACAGAAAGCTTTCTGTGTGCAACCAACACTTCTCAAAAATTGCTCAAACGCCGATGCTGGACATATGGTGGCACCGTTCTGCAGCTCTCTGGCAAAAGGCATGCCTGCGCAACGGTCTTGACCTTTTTCTTCTGGAGACGTTCACTCCTGACAGAATCTATCACAATCTTTTTCACATTCGTAAAGAATGGGATTGAAGTTTGAAGCTTCACAACCCGTTCTGTGTGCTGCTGAACGACTGTCACTAAGCACAGTTCACACATGAAAACATAAAGTAGGCTAGCGGCGACTAGGGCACAGGATTGAAATTTGCATCCGGTGCCTGCATCTACTTGGAATATCTCTCTCATTCTCTCTCGGGTTGACTTGCCTCCTTAGCTCTCCTTCTTCTCTTTTTTCTTTTTTTTCTTCTTTGCTGCCTTCCTGCCAAGCTCCAGAAGAAACTCCAGGACGGCCAAATCTAGCACGCTTTGCAATGCACTTTTCAGGGACTCTTCATCAGGCTTTTTCAAGCAAAGCACATCTGCCACACAAAACCATAAATATCTGTGTGTAACGCGTAGGCAGCTGTAAACATGTGACATGTGTATAAATATGTAAATAGGTATATAAAGGATCGTAAGCAGCAGTTGCAACATTTCAAGAGAAGACAACGGGAACATGTAGTGTTCCATCGTGCTAGCAATCCTTCACGGCCAATAGTCTGAATCTGATGCCTCTCCAGCATCTCCCAGCGGTGCCGCCATGCCATCTCTTCCCCGACTTGCACGAAAGCTTTGAGCAATTCGGAGACGTCACCTGAGTCTGCAGCTTTGGGGTTTGCTGAAGTCCTGCAAAGGGGTGGCACAAGTTGCTTCCCAAGCACCGGCATCCGTGGTGAGCACTTCCACCGCGGACTCTGCATCCGCATCTGTTAGTGCTTCCTGAAGAATTGAAAAGGATATCACTTCCTTGTCGGCTTGGTGGAACAAACTGAATTGGTCCTGCAATTTTGAAACCCAAAAATTGTTAATTATGCTACCCACCATTCGGAATCCATTCAAAACATATTCGCAGTGTTCGAAGGACGGGCAGTATTGAGCGGTAGCGCATCAAAAAGGGTCCTGACCATTGACAATCACGCAGGATTTGCCCAGCGATGGAGACAAGTCCAAGTCATCCAGAACAACGCAGGCTTCCGTGGCCTGTGGGAGAATGACTCGGACAGGAGACATTGATTGGAGGCATCGCCGAGACATTGAATGAGGAAAACTCTTGCCTCATGAGCACGAAGCCAATCCACAATCTCCTGACAAACCGTGTAATGGCGCATGCGACAGAAACAGTCCACCTAGCTCACTTAGTTACTATGGCTTCTAAACGCAACTAGAGGATCCCAGTGTAGTCTACACGATGTGAACCAAACTTCATTGTTTTCGGTGAACCATCGGCAGAATCCCGAGACTGTGAAGAATGGCTTCAGCGATGGCTTTGATCACTGGAGGGCACACAGCATTGCCCAGCTGATGATACGCCCGGTTCTCACCTTCGATCAAGGCATGAGCGACAATTGCATAGCCGCGCATTCCGTGCAACTCTGTCGAATAGGAGTGCATACAAGATTCCTACACATTTGCAACACCCCAAGCTGAGAGGACATGCATGTACAGGACATGAACTGCATGAACATGGCTTCACAGCTCAGCCGAGGTGCTGTGCTCATTGCCCAGAAGACATTTGTCTGGGAAACCCATGAGCCGTGCGCACTCTCGGCGAGTGAAGAAGCGTGGCCTTTCGAGCTGAGGGTCGCTCACGAGCTCCGCGGTGCACGCGAAAGAGGCCTTGGCCATGTCCAACCACAGCGGTCTTTTGGCACTTCTCAAGCCGTTAAGTTTGGGCTTGTTTTCCCGAAAAAAGCTACAAGAACACTGTGCAATCATGAAAGTCATGAAAGCTACTGTAAATTCATATAAATTCATATTTGGAGGATGAAGACTCTGTTCCGCTTCAAGCGATGCACAGTTAGACAACTAACATGCTAAGGACCCTGAGGCCAAAGGTCTTGGAATGGGCTGTATGCTGCTGCAAACTACCAAGAAGAAGGCATACTTAGGGGAGCACCATGGAACACCTGTTGCCGGAAAGTGTCCTCATGGACCACGCAAGTTGTCTTTTTGCCGCCGTGCCTTGTAACTGGATGTCAAGGTCCGAGCCTTACCCTCCAGCTGTGCGAACCGCAAGGGTGCCCCACCAGAGAGCCAAGTAGAACTCTTCCTGGGAAGCCAAAAGACGGAATTTGATAGAACAAATCTGAATATATAATAGAGAGAGCAAGAAAAGAAGGGATGGGCCCCCTTTAACAAGGCCGCTTCAATGTCAGACGCACATTATTGCGTTTTGTCAGCTTTCGCCTGTCCCGTTTCCCCCTCTGCAAAAAAGTCCGACGGTGAATGCAGTAAGCATTCCCACAAATCGCACACAAAAAGGACATCAACTCATCCAATATCCACCTGCCCTGAGTTCTGCACTGCACAGCACGCCACTGTGCTTCAGTGAGTTCACAACATTGAGCCATCTCAGCAGATTCCAAGACTTCCTGCCGCACATGTCTCTTGACCAATCAACTGCATCCCACAGCATACGGATCTGTGCCGATGCCCTACTGTACTCAGTGGCCTCAAGGGAGCGGCCATTTGCAGGTGGTTCTGGCCATTGAAAGTCCTTTGCCAACGGAAGACCTCGTCTGAATCCCACGAAGTACAGCCTGCTGGAGCAGCTTGGGATTTGTCTGCAAGCGAGAGAGGGGCAGCATCTTCATTTTGGCAATGCGACCTGTTTCGTAGCAGTTCCCCAAGTCTTCTACAGGCAAGCGCGCATCTTGGAGGTTCCTTTTCTATCCTTTCTTTGGTCCAACGAGTGTCATTCCATTCCCATTAAGGAAGGAAAGCTAGGCGTTGGTCTATACTCTGTGAGACGTGAAAGATCAAGCCAACTGGACACTTGAAAGTCGATGTCCTCCGAAATAAACCAGAGGACTCAACTGCGAAGCACCTGGGGGAAAAAGCTTGATTCTCAGGACATCTCAAAAAAACATCTCAGTACTTAACGATCTCATGTTAATAGTCGGGCCAAATGCCAGGATCACGCTTTATGCCATGGTGACTAACACCAAAGCGTTCGATTGAAGGACGCCAGCCAATTTCATGAGATGTGATCACAGGACGGCCGTATCGCTGCTGTGGTGTGTCAGTCAAGCGAGACAACAAGGCTTGTGATCTATCCAGTTTGGTCCTTGACAAGGCAGCCTTTGGTCCTGTTGTCAGAGAAGGCAAAGAAGGAGCAGACGCTGAAGAACCCAACTTGCTGTCGCGGGAAAGTCTCCTCTCTCCTTTGAGAAATCCCCATTGACATTCCCAATTCGCGGCGGTCTTTAGCTCTGTCTCGATCAGCTGCTTCCATATTTCCATTTCATGGCTTCCATTCTTGGCCTTCCCTTCTGCCATAGCGTGGCTTTGGCGAATCAGCGTGCCCTCGGAAGCTCGAGCCAAAATGTGTTGAGCGACTCACCTGCTGGGCAATAGCAGAATCATACGTCATTGGTGGATACATGCAACACGGGATTTCCAATGAAGTTGATACACGATGAGAGACTATGGATCTGATGCAACGCGTGTGTCTGCGCCCATTGCGGCCTTTCTCGCTTCTGAGGAACCCATCCATCGGAGTTTATTTGCTTTGATTGAACCTCGTAGCCGACGTCCTGCGGCGCTTGCAATGTGCGGAGGCTGTACAACAATTGCATCCAGCAGGAAAGCCTGACCAATTGACAAAATATGTCCAAAAAAACACATATTTCAGAGAGTCTTGACTCAACCCTCCCACAAAGGACACACCTCTGAAAATATGTATTTTTTTGGGGGGCGGGTATTTGTTCACAGTCCGCAGGGTCCAAAATTTTCAACAGAGTGCTCTCCTGAGTCAACATTTGTCAAGAAAACTGCACTGCCAGGAGGGCACTCTGTTAACATTTGTCAAGAAAACTACTCTGCGAGGAGGGCACTCTGTTGACATTGTCAAGAAAACTACACTGCCAGGAGTGCACTCTGCAGAAGATTCTGCACTTTGTAGACAACTCTTGAAGAAAAAGCTAAAACACACCAAAAAAGACATGTTTTCAGAAGTTTGTCCTCTGTGGGAGGGTTCAGTCAAGACTCTCATAAATATGTGTTGTTGTGTTGTCTCAAGGTGTTTTTAGTTTTGCCCCGTGGCGGCCCCTTCTGGTGAGCGTAAAAGGAGTGATTTTTGAAGCGGCAGCCCGCCCTCCATATCTAACATTGCACATAAATATACGTTTCACACAGTTAATGAGAACACACATATCTGGGAAATCTACTTTCCCAAACATCCAAAGGAAAGCTACTTAAAATGAACGCTTTCAAACAAAGCTTTTACACAGCTTTTCACTAAAGAAGTGGTCAGTCCCAGAGATCTAGAGGTAAGTTTTTGACAAACACTTCTATATTGTTATATAGAGTTTTTTACATATGAACATATTTATTACCAAATATATTTTCTTTTGAAATAAACAGCTTCTATATATATAGTATCTTTAAACAAATGATCATTCCCAAAAATCTAGGGACGGCTTTTGAAATGCACGCCTTTATATTAGGGTTTAATATAGAAGTGATCAATACCAGAAATCTAGGGGAAAGCTTTTGGAATACAACTTACAATATATAAGGCGTTTAAAATAGCAAAATTACTATTTTCAGAAATCAAAAGGTAAGTTTTAACGTAATTGCTTATATACATGGCTTTTTGAATATGGAAATAAGTACCTTAGAGATTTGAAGGAACGCTTTTGAACAAACAGGCTTTCAAATGTAGTTTTTAGTATGAAAATGACAATTTCCAGAGATCAAGAGGAACGCTCTTGAATCAGAAGCTTTTACAGTATTTATTTTGTTATAGAAGTGATCATTCCTAGAGATCTAGGGGGAAACTTTTGACATAGAAGCTCTTATATAAAGCCTTCTTAACATAGAAATGCTTATTCCCAGAGATTTTTTGAACAAACCTGTCTGTCTACTCAAAAGCAGTGTTTTGACCTAGTTCCCAGCACTCCCAGTGCAAGAAAACACTGTAAAACACATGATTTTGTAGCGTTTTGTTTTGCCTTACTCACACCTCCAGCAACACCTGCTCTCTGGAATTAAATTAAACTTGAACAATCCGCCGGCCTGCCGGCGTGTTTTGTGGATTGTTTTGGTTAGTATTGCTTGTGTTGGTTTCAATCTACGGTTTGTATCTCCGCGCGGATTTTTCGACAGCCTGACGCCCCCCACCCCCCCCCCTCTCTACGTCTAAGGTGATTGGACTGAGACATGTCGATCGCTGGATCAGAATAGACAACCATTGGACTGAGACATGTCGATCGCTGGATCAGAATAGACAACCTCTGATTCGGATTCGTTCCATTTCATTGTAAAACAACTTCGCTTGAAATCAACATCAACAAACTCTCCCAGCAAAATGCGCAACTCCAATGCACCCACAAGTCTGATTGAGCAGGGTATTGTTGTTCGATGTCATTCTGGGTCTTTCATTTCCAACGGTTTGGAGAAAAAAACGACAAATCATGCCAGATCTAGAAATTCTTCGGTCGCTTTGAAGCCTTCTGTGTGAAAAAGAATAACTGGTGCGTGTCGCAATCCCTCCAGACGGTCGGAAAAAAGATCTGAAAAGGAAAGCATGCAAACGGCCAAGTAGTTTGGAAGAAGAATCGTTTTCAAGGTCATGTTTTGTGGATAGTCTTGGTTCGCATTGCTTGTGTTGGCTTCAATTGGTTCCTCTTAGGTGATTCGACTGAGACATGCCGGTTCGGATCGCTGGATCAGAATAGACAACCTCTGATTCGGATTCGTTCCATTTCATGGTCAAACAACCTTGAAATAAACATCAACAAACTCACCCAGCCAAATGTGCAACTCCAATGCACCAACAAGTATGATTGAGCAGGGTATTGTTGTTCGATGTCATTCTGGGTCTTTCATTTCGAACGGTTTGGAGAAAAAGCCACAAATCATGCCAGATCTAGAGATTCTTCGGTCGCTTTGAAGCCTCCTGTATGTGAAAAAGAATATCTTGTGCGACTCGCAATTCCTCAAGACGGTCGAAAAAAAAGAGCTGACAAGGAAAACATGCACAAGGCCAAGTAGTTTGGAAGAAGACTCATTTTCAAGTACCGGTTTTGTGGATTGTCTTGCTTCGTCTGGCTTGTGTTGGTTTCCATTGGTTTCAATCTACGGTTGGTTTCAATCTACGGTTTGTTTCTCCGCGCGGATCTTTCGACAGCCTGCCCTGCCCCGGTTGGTTTCAATCTACGGTTTGCATCATTAGGCTGCCTGCCAATGCGGGCTCGAGCTGGTGGCCGGCGGCATGCCGAAGGCTGTAAATAATTACGTTAGAATTGAACGAATTAACTTAGGTTTGACATGGAATCATATAAATTACGATTGAATTAGGGGTATGTATAAGTTGTTATGAATAATCCATTTGACATAGCAAATGCACCAAAAAGCGCACTGCCACAACTGCCTGCTCTCTCCCTCTCTCTCTCTATATAATTGGAACGCACTTACATTGAAACATCCAATATCATCTATCATGTCGCTTTTCCACATGAGCGTCACGACAGACGTGGCACCTCAACATACTCCGCACGCCTCATCCAGCTCTAAGGGACCGACAATTGGCCAGCAACCAAACGAGCCAAAGTCCTCCAAGCATGATATCACCTTCTTGTAGACTTCCCCGAAAACGCACTTCTGCGGGTCTGCGTCCCAATGGCCGCCATCCAGGAACTGCATATTCCAGACCTTGTGAACCAAAGAGCCAACCCCCCGAACCACAGAAGCTTGGAAGCTATCGGGTCATGGTTAAGAATGGCCAAGATGCATTCTCCAGCAGAAAGGCTTTAGGTTTGCAAGAGTGCAAAATCCTCAGCACTTCAAAGAACAGCTCCCCACGAGCATCCTCAAAGCCCAAACGCTCGCCACGACCTGAGAATTGTGGGCAGTATTTGTGCACTTTGATCTTGGACATGCACACAGAGAGTGTCGTGGACGCGGAGAGCTAAATATATCTATCTAAATATTATGACACACTTGATATGATTCACACTACGGTATTTGTCAAGTTCTACATATTACACACTGGAATTGTACACACCTCAGAGCTCTTGGTTCGATTCCCCCAGTGTTTGTTCAATGAAGGGGTTTCTGACTCAACAAGTCCACAGGAATTACGCCAAGAGTCCGCTGAGTCATAACAGGTGTCTACAACTGGTCTCCAAACCAAACTTCCCCTTCTCAGTGAACTTGCGAGGTACGGGTGAAGGGTTGACATGGGAAACCAGCAGTGAGGAGCTCGTGTGATGGGACAACCTTCGCATCGACAGCTGTGATGTCACCGTAGAGATCTTCGGACCCAAAGTTCGCTGCATAGGCGTCCTGACACGTCGCAAACTCAAGTGAAAGGTTAGTAGCATTCTTGCTACTAGTAGCGTCCTTTGCTCCTAGTAGCGATGCCAGGAGCCCCTAGTAGCTTCTTGTTCCTAGTAGCGATGCCCTTTGCTCCTACGTAGTAGCAAGACGCAGCTGCACTTCGTTGCATGAGTTTCACTAGCTTGAAGTCTTGCTGGCTCCGGAGTTGTGGAAGAAGGACAACTAACAAGTGGAAACTGTGGATGGGCAATGGGAAATCCGTGTCAAGAGTGCAGCACGCTCTTCACTTCATCATCTGATGAAATCTGCAACCTGTGTATTTCAACATTTGACTCTTCAGGGAGAAACTGGAGCCTGGCAGTCCACATCGATCTCAGAGGCGAACACGCATTGGCCCCCAAGAGCCTATGCAGGCTTTGAATGTCCAAACATGGCATGCGAAAGCCAATGCCGAATGACTGTGATAACCGTGATGAGGTCTGACGAACAAAACCGTCTTTTGTAAATCTGCTTCTGCTCAGGGCGGCTTAAGTGCACCCTGATCAAGTCCATGTGAAACAGGATCAGGCGCGTGAGTTTCATCGCTTCCCCTTCTTTTTGCCTCCTCTGCCCTTTCCTCCTTGTTTGCTGCGGCGCTTATTTTGCGCCTTCGACCGAGCATCGTTCCTCCTCTCCTGAGTCACACCCACCTGAGCAGCTTTGTGCTTGTCCACTGGCCCATCACCAGATAAGACTCGGCCAACCGTTTTCAGGTAGTTGTCCTTCTCCACACCGCCGCTAACAGGTGCTACTCCTTTCTTCCGTTTTGGCTGAAGATTCGTGGCCTCGTTGGGGGCCACCCGGTCAAATTTGCCGAAGGAAGCAGAAGAGACCTGGGCTCGTTTGATCGCTTCTTTCAACCCGTCCTTTCCTCGCTTCTGTGTGTTGGACAAGTCAGGCACACTGGCCCGAAGCTTTCCTCCAGCAGCTTCGACTTTATTCCTCACTTCTCGCATCCTCTGCCGGGCTTGTAGGAGCCGCTTCTCGGCTGTCTCCTTGTCGAAGGGGTTCTGGTTTGGATCATCCCGATCACCGACCTCCTGGACCCAATTAGCCCTTTCCTGAGACTTTTTAATGCTGTTGTAGCCCCAGCGAGGTTTCCAGTCCCCTTCTATGTCATCCCAAACAAGCCGACTCCTCTTCTTCTTCTTCATATTTCTTTCTTCCATGAACTTCTGCCATCTCGTCTTTGGCTTCTCTTTTGGAATCGGCTTTGCGCGAGGCAGTCTGAAAACACCCTCTGCCGGAAGGGACACCAAAGTCCCTTCCTCACCTTTGTGCCTGGGGAGAGCAAAGATCTTGTTTACCAGCAGCTGGACCGAGTCTCTCGCATAAGCCATCAAGTCCGTTCCATTGGGAACCGGGGAGATGTCATACGCTGCCATGTTCTTGAGGTCATAAATCAAGTTGTCTTCGCGGGATGCTGTCGCCGGACGGGAGACTGAGGAGACTTCATTTTTCTCGCTCATGGATGAGCAAGATCAGCTATTCAGCCCTACTCTCAAAGTGAAGGGCCTGTCTGCGACTTGAACCACGAGTTGCGGGTTGGGCTTGCCCGGCTCGCCTTCTATTCTAACACTCTCAACCAAGGTTTCTCGCAAAGCCACAGAAACCTCATGTGTCGTTTCTCTCTCTCAGCTTTCACGCGCCTCCAAGGCCCATCTGAAGCCACCAATCCCAGCGAAGAGCTCCACAAAAGCAAAGCATGAGGAGTTTGAGGCTAAGGCCTTCTCCTCAGCTGCCAGTGGGATGTTGGTGCATAATCCTGCATGCAGCATGTTAAATCTCTTCGAATTGACCTGGAGTGAAGCAGTACAAATAATAATTTGAACAGGGTACCGCTATCTTGCATCACCGTCCCATGTATCCGTTTCTCCAAGTGATCGCACACCACTGCCAAAGGTATGCGCAGCGGCAGTTGTGGTCGAACCTTTACATCTGGTATCATCTGTTGGTGCTTCGCCTAAGGGTTTAAGATGGTTTAAGGTGGTTTAAGAAGGCATTGTGGCACCTGGTTCATCTCAGTCAAGTGGCAGCGCTGCGAGCTGGCCCTCGGCACCGCTGGGCACCAAGGCGTAAGCCTTGCACCACGTATCGCCGAAACAGCACGGGAATCACCAATGGCATATTTAGCCCACAAACATCAATCCGGATCCAGCTTGGACAACTTTGCTCACCTGTATGCAGCATTCCCTTACAACAGTCATGAGCACCTGAAACTAGCGAACACTGATAAATTCAAATCAGCACAGCTGGGGCAAGTCCACCCTGTGTGGCCTGGGAGAAATTCCACGGAGCCTTCCCTCAGAAGCTTGTTGATGGCTTCTGGAGCTTGTCCAAAGCACAGGAGGGTGGCACCCTCAATGGTCAAATGCACTGCTTTCCGGCCATTGTAATCCTTGAAAGCAGGAAAGCAGCAATCTAGAATCCTCACAATCATTCAAAATCTCTGAGTTGCCGTGCAAACATGTGGTACATACGCATAGGCAACTTCTGCAAACACACCCACAAACCATTCTCCCCCGCCTGCTTGTGCTGTCTCTAAATTGAGTTAAAGTCTAATTATTCTATAATCAAAAGTGCATCCTATTGTTCTCTTACTTTTTTCATCATTCTCCTACGGTTCCACACAAAAAGGATGCCTTTCTGCCCTTCGGATAAACGTGTGACAGGTCTTTGGACATGAACAAAGACTCAACACTCTATGTTATTCACCGTGCAACCGATTATCAATGCAGTGTCAAGTATCCTTCACAGCCTTTGGCCGTGCCAAGTTGGGCTTTTCAGCGGCTAAAGCCTTCAACACCTCCTGCAGCCGCGGGATGTCACAAAGCAAAGCGCCAACTGGACATCCATTTCCTGAAAGCTCAGAAAGGATCGGAATTTGAATGACAAAGCACGGATCCCACCTGTGTCTCACGTTTTTCTTCTCTCTCTCTCTCTCGCTATTGCTAATTTATACCCATCTTGCCAGTATAGAGGTTTTGAGAACGTACAAGCTCAGAAAACATCCCTGCAAAGCTACTCCAAAGAGTTGCACTGTGGAGCTAGGCCATTGCAGGATTATCCAGCCGAATTCAGCCTCATTACAGTTTTATGATGTTGAAAAAACATCAACATATCGCCCTATTTCCCAACTCTACATGACTCATAAGCCATAGGTTCGTGGCAGCCAAAGCGGGCCGTCGACATCGCTTATCGATGTGTCTCTTCGTGGCTTTTTGCAATGTGAGCCACCAAATGGGTGGTTCTGATCCATGGAGCAGCACAAAGCCGCTAAGCACGCCAAACCGCTTGTGAAATGCCACCACCCACCGAGGGGGGGCCAAATTGGAAGAGAAACAAACAACATGTCTCCCATTTCTGAAACGGCCAAAAACCTCATGATCTGCGGCTACATGTTCATCAGCCCAAAAAATGTCAAATAACGAATAATAACGAGCTGAAGGGGTTACAGCAGGGGTGGAGTGACAACACTTGCCCTCGGGCGGCACACTATACATGGAAACGCCCTCTGGCCACAAGGGCTTCACTGCATCGTCTCAATGTTTCAGCCTTTTGAACCGAAAGTGCCACCTGCGTCGTCTCAAGAAGAATGCCCAAAGTTCTCATGCTTGGCAGACTGCCCAACTGCCCTTGCAAGGTGTTACTATATGTTATATGTATATGTCATGTAGAGCCCTGACTGCAAATTGAACACCAAAGTATCTAAAGGCACACTTGCCAGTTGCTCGGTGCACTTGCACTCCAGAAAGTACAACCAATTCAGTTGGATCAAGTGATTGGATGTGATTGGCTGCCCAAGAAGTCACATCCCTGCAAAGCAAGAAGATCAACAAATATGTGGGGCATCTGTTGTTCCACGAGCCTTTCTGTTTCTGTTGGATGTTTGACAATGTTTGACGATTATCATAGCGTGTAGCAAGAACATTGCAAAACAGTCATGGTAAACGCTCTGATTCCTGACACCGGCTCCTGTGCTCGAGCTGATGGTCCCATAGAAGCATCAGTTGCTGTGGAGTCCAGGACGGAAAGGCCGACTGAGGCGAGGTGCCTTTCGACTTCCTCACTGCAGAGGGGAGATGTGTCAAGTCAAACATGCACAATGCTTGCTTGCTTGCTTGCTTGCTTCAGCGTTTCTTGGTATGGAGGGCATGTTTGGGGTTCGTCAGTGAGGACGCTCCCCAAAGCTACAGCCATATCATGCCATATCAATAATTACCATACACACTTCGTTGCACATGGTGTCCAAGTAAACCAAAGCCTTTGTGCTTTTATTTGTAATAATTTCACTTAGGTTCACAATGGTATACCATACATGGTATAATGATTTACCTTTGTTCCGCGGGCACAACGTCATGCAGCACGTGAAGGTCTGATCCGTCGATTCGTTTTGAATCACAGTTTGCTCCGGTCCGACTGTTCCAAAAACATTGACACACACACAAATGCACAAGAAACAACTATTTCAAAATCACAGAAGAGATAGAAAAAGAACACAGGCATTGGCTCTGGTCAAAAGCAAGGTTCAGCCAAGGAATCCTTGTCCAACCGCCACGAGGAGGAGAGAACGATCCTGCCAGTGGCCCACAAGCTTTCCGAGAAACAAATTCCAGTGCCATTGGGAAGACCAATCAAAGTCCAAGGCCTGGAGCTCAAAGAACTAGACAAATAGAAGCAAATAGATTAACATAGATTAACCAATTGGGGCTTCGAACACCGAACTATGCCGGCAAAGCAACGCTGCATGGCCATGGTTGGCAACCCAAGCCAAACGCTCCAAACAAGGTCGGCGAAATAGGTCCTCAAGCCAAAGGTAGAGTGCAAACAAAAGGCTGGAGACGACAAAGAGAACAACATAGACATGAAGGGACCTTGGTAACCCCCGACCCTTTTCAGCTCGCTCTTCCTGACCGTTCTCCTCGTCTTCAAGAGCATTACCTCCTGGAGCATCTGCTGGGTGGAGGACCTCATCACGTGTCAGCTCTGAGAAGTGCAAGCAAACAAATGGGATCTCACTGATCTCACTCATGAAATTCACCATTAATTAGACACAATTTCACGCTTTGAGCCATGTCTAAGACAAGCGCCCCATCGACATCCAGAAAAATGACTCGAGGGGCTATCGCCATTGCTCATCAGGCTACCAGCCATGCTAGCACTACATCTATTGGAGACTCTTGACAAGAATCCAGTAAATTGTGCTACACGACCGCTGCGATCGGTAAACCAAACCATAACCATAACCGCCTCATATCACATTAAGAACGCTAAAGTACTTGTTTTGACACATTTCAAGCTTTTCTTCTGCAAGGCTAGCTCGACAGGATGCTTGAGCAAAATGCCACAGTCTGCCAAGAAAGGAGAATGGCTTCTTTTCGGGTACTACGTGAGCAACTCGATGTCAAGATTCACGATTTTCCAATTCAAGATTCATGCCAAGTATCTGTCCATCTTCAGCTTCCAAAATGGCTGCCTGGAACAAATGAATGATGGTCTAATATTGGGCTGGGGACTTCGGAGTGTTGGTGTGCTGTCATTGTTCTGGCACATTTGTAGGCATTGCCCATTTCAGGAAAACTGTGCCATCAAAATCCAACGTCCGCTTCATTGCTACTTATCACTACGGTAGATTCTCATCTTGCTCAAATATGATATAATATAATTCTTCCCGTGCATGCAAAACACACGCTTGGCTCAAAACTAATGAGACAATGAGAGTGAACTGCTGCAACTCAACATTGACAATCATGAGTGCAATCCCTGTTTGCTAGGGCTGCCAACGAGACGAGAAATGGGGAAATGCGCACCGATGAAGCAGAATCTCAGGCCACCTGTGCTGGCTGTCACACTATCAGCCAGCTCTTGGTGCGTTTTGCTGTGTATCCAAAAACGCAAGGAGAGAGTGTTCCATCTGATTACTGTATCGCAAATCGTGTGCTGGCTAGGGTGTAATCATAATTCCCCCTCCATCAGCAACAAGGGGCCTGGAGCCAAGAGACTCCGACCCAGGAAGGACTTCTTTGGGTTTGGCACGCGGAGCCCTGCCACGGTGAGATCCTAAGCTAGTGCAGGGGAGTTGAGGATGGCACTTCTCCCAGCGAGGTTTGCAACATACAGCAATACTCAGCCCTGCTCAGGTCATTCCATGACCAGAAACCCCAATCATATACATGCACATGTGAGGTGCTATGACTCATGAAAAGAGTCTCGAAATGACACCAGGGTGAAGCCAAGCGTCCGTCAAAAGCCCGAAGGTTCCATTGGAATCTTCTTGAAACCTCGGTGTGCCAAGCTTTTTGGCCAAAAACATGGAGATAAATCGCGCACCACGTCCTCAAAGCCCGGACCGGCCGTATCTCTCTCAGCCTGGGTGCCGGACCGGCCTCGATGGTATGCCAACAGTGTTTGCATATCACCCGTGTGTCGGGCTGCCAAATCTTCTAACAGCACTTTGACCTGCATGGGAGAATGTTCAAGATCCGTTGGCAAGCAGCTAGAATCCGCAAATAATCGCAAATATTTCAAAGGCAAAATATGGCAAACCAGCTTTTGCCCTTTCAAAGCTTGTCTTGACAGAACGACACTTCCTCAAGTTGTCGCGTCATTCATGAACATGCCGCGATGCAAGACGCTGCCTTGTTTCCCATCCCTCTCACTTCTGCAACCGCACTCTGCAACTTCAGCATGTAGTGCGGCAGCAAAGGCTCCAATTGATTGTGAAGCTGAGTCGGGTCCATACAGCTTTCCTCAGCGCCACTCACTGAACTTGTTTGGGACCAGTGTGATTTTTTTGGGGTGGTATCGAACTTTGTGCGCTGCAGTCCGGTTGGGAAAAGTGCAACCTAGTGACCTAGTGAACAGTGTACGGCCTACACATTAAAGCGGGTAAGTGAAGGGTTGGGCCCAGCGCCGAGCAGGACTCCTCTGAGGTTGCAAAACTTCTACAATCTTCTACAGTAAACCATCTGAATTGCAGAAGAATATCCGGGAATGAAACGAAGATCATGTCGGGCTCAGCATCATCCTGTAGGCTGGAGGAAGGCAACAACTCGGGCACTTCTTCAAAGGTGTAACAGCCCTTGCCACACAACATTTAGGAATCACAGCAAAAAATGCACAGCCCGTTATTGGGTTGGAGGCCATTGCTACTAGGGTGGAAGCCATCGCTGCTAGTGAAGAGGCCATGGCTACAAGTGTGGAGGCCATCGCTGCTAGGGTGGAGGCCATTGCTAGTAGGGCGCTACTAGGGTGGAGGCCATCGATATTAGGGTAGAGGCCATTGCTACTATGGAGGCCATCGCTACAAGTGTGGTGGCCATCGCTACTGGGGTGGAGGCCATCGCTATTGGGGTAGAGGCCATCGCTACTAGGGTGGAGGCCATCGCAACTATGGAGGCCATCGCTGTTAGGGTAAAGGCCCATCGCTAGTAGGGTGGAGGCCATTGCTATTAGGGTAGAGGCCATCTCTACTAGGGTGGAGGCCATTGCTATTTTGTTAAAAGGCCTACTTGGTGGTGGTGGACCTGCACAGTCCGGTCCGCCCACCGCAATTGTCTGTGCCTGTGCCGCAGTAAGGGTAGTTAGCAAGTCTTCTCCTCGGAGTCCTCAAAATCGGGGTTGACAATTTGCACTGCGCTTGGGGCGATCACTTCCAATGCCACATTGTTGATCTAAACACAACGGCACATTAAAGACTAAATAACGACATGACTTTAAATGTCTTTAAGTCCAATTTGACATAAACAAGGCTACGCCGCCGTTAGCGGCTATGGGGAATTTGCACATTGCAGTGGAGTCGGCTACCGCAAGAAAACCAACTCATTGAGCAGGTAATCCCACGGCACTCCACTCAGTTGACGCAACGTCAGCAGCAACAAGAAGAACTCTCGGAACTCAAAGCTCACTGGGACCCAGAACCCGATCCCCCAAAGGCACCCTCAAGTGAAGCTCACTGGGACCCCGAAAGCCTACCCAAAGGTCCCTGATCCGAAAGTGAAGCAACCTGGCAACCCGAAGCCCCCCCAAAGGCACCCTCAAGTGAAGCACTGTGACCTCCCAAACCCACCTGAATCCCAAAAAGCATCAATAATAGCAAATGTCTCAGTGCTGCTAACGGCGGCGTAGCCAACCAGCAAAAAGCTGTGGAGCCACGACCGGTCATGTCTCTGGAAACGGTCTTCTCCTTGGATTTGCTCCACGGTCTGCAAGTCTAGGCCTGGCATCGTCGGTGGAATCCCCTTTAAGGCATGATGCCTGTGGTCTAAGGCAGCCGCTGTTGGCCAAATTGAAGGTGAAAAAGCGAAAGCGATAGTCCTGACCTTGGCCAACTTGGCATCCACTTGGCTTTTGATCTTTCATCACCGGAAGAGAAACAACTGCGAAGCTTCTGCTCTTGTTGAAGAAATATTTATTATTATTCTTCGGAGGGAAACCCCCTCCATGCGGTCCAGGCTGCAAGGTACTGCTGCGGTGCTGCAAAAGTCTTCCAGTGCCATCGTCATAGCGACACATAGCTAAATAGCTAAGGCTAGATAGACGAGATGTTTATAACAGGTGATTGTTGGGATCTCAACATTCCCTCCCAAACCTTTGAAAAGAACACTGGACACCAAAACCACACTGAACAGGCCAAAAGATCGACTGCAAAGCCATTTTGTATCTTGACCTTGCCTTTCTCTTTCTAGCATGTTCTTTTCAGGATCTGAGACTACGAGGATAAGTCGTCGTCCGCAAGGAGAATTGCTTGATCATAGTGGGTGCTCCTTCCAACTAGCGCTGTTCGTGTGTGTCTTCTGGCCCTGGTGGTCAGTGAATCAAACTGTTGCTGTTGTTGCTGCTGCTCCGGTGGTGCTGTTGTTGTTGTTGTTGTTGTTTGGTGATATGTAGATTGCAGCGAACGCAGCATCAACTCCAGTACTCACAAAGAAAGCAGCGGGGAGCATTGCACACGTCTCCCATGAACTTGGCGATTTGTTCAAAGCTGTCAAGGCTTTATGCATCATGAGGTCTTACATTCAACACATTCAAGTGAGGCACAGCCCAATGGTCCTGCGCACAAAAAGTATATATCCATAGAACCTCTCAACAACTTTTCACTGTGACACATCGTGAATACCCTGGAATTCAGCTTTAATTTAAAGCTTCCGCCCTGTCAGGTGTCATTGGCACATCACAGCCAGCCTCGTATCCAAGGCGACTTACTGAGACACCTTCTTCCTGTGCCAGTTGTGCAAAGTCCAACACCCGTGCCAAATGCTTACATCGAAAAAGACCATCCCCCAAAATGAACAGTGCATAGGGCATAGGGAGCAGGCAGGTGTAACTTCAACTTAGTATTCCACCAGCTTCCTAAATTCAACAACATACTTCAAAGCCTCCTGGACTTGTAGCCTCCAAAGCTTGACTCCCAGCAGCAACTGACAATTTTGCCTGTATGTTCAATCATGTTCAATCCATTCATGCATTCATCATTCACCTCTGATCATCTTGATCTAACTGTTCTGTTTAGAATGGCGTGAGAGCAGTGAGAGCTGCAAGCCCTCCGGAAGGTACGGAAAGCAGCGGCTCACCGAGCTGTTCCCCGAGCTTCTGGCTTAAGACTGCCACCTCTGCTTGGTAGCCCGCCGCCTCAATCTCCACCTCCTCATGGCGAAGCCGCAAAGCCTCACTTGTTGAGACCTGGAGCTGCTCTGTGAGCTCCTGGAAGTTTTGTAAGCTTTCTTCCAAGAGACTTCGTTTCTCTTCCAGCAAGCGCTTCAAAAGATCTACTTCACTATAGTCGTATGGCTTTCCGAATTTCTCCTTCTCGTACTTCTCATATCTCTCATCACGAGGAGGAGTATACTGAGTATAGTGAGTAGCCTTGAAGGGAACTAAGGCTTCTCTTTCTCGGAAGGTTTCCGGGAAAGCATCCTTGTGATACCATTGTCTGGAATCATCGGAGATTGGTGCCAAAGGTGGCCAATAGCCAGTTGCATCCAAGCGCTCTGGCAAGGCAAGCTCATGGCTTGGCTTCTCATGGCTTCCGTCCGAAGCAGAAGCGGCAGAAGCCAAACTTTGTGCTCCGAGTCCATCCAGTCCGAAGGGCAACTCATCAACATTGTCCTGAAACAAAGGCACCGTGACCTTC